TGAACTTGAACGGCACGCCGTCGGCCTCCGTGGCGAGCACCGTTGCCTCCCCGCCGCGCGGGCCGACACGCATGAGGCCCTTGTACGCGTCGGCGATGTAGAGGTTACCGGAGGTGTTGTGGAACCGGAGGCCGAGCGGCCGGCCGCACTTGCTCTCGGTGAGCTCGGCGGGATGGAGCTTGGGAGCCATGCACTTGGCGACGTTGTACCCCGGGGAGTGGGAGTACGTCGTCCAACCTTCGTCGGCGCCGTCCCAACGGAGGATGCGGCCGTCGGAGACGCCGCTGTAGGGGCCATCGCCGAACTTGTCGAACGCGACGCTCTCCGGGCCGACCAGCGTCGTGGGCAGCGGCAGCGTCTCGACCAGTGTGGCGGAGGTGTCCTTCGCGACGGCCGCGGCGAGGGCGTGCGATGGCAGGAGCAGCAGGAAGACGACGATCGTCAGCGCCACCCGAGTCAGAGTCCCCACCCTCCCGGTGCCGAGGACGGCGCCCATGAATGAAAGTCGTCGCCTTGCTTTGCTTCGTCTCACTATCGAAATTGTCTTCTTTGCTTTCACGAGTTCTTCTGATCTCAGATGTTCTTTGCTTCTTGCATTGGTGCTGCGTCTGCGAGGGTGTGTTCCTTTATAGCCGTGGCCACTGCAGATCACGTCCAGTTTCGGACGCCGATTCCGATTGGTGTCATGGAACTGAACACTGAAGCCGGCCGACTCGGAGTTAGCAAGATTAATGCGGTCGACGTAATTAGACCATTAATCTGCGGATTCGGAATCGGCATTTTTATGGGGGTGACGTAATCAACCCGTTTAATATCCTGGACCTAATTAGCTCATCCACGTAAATTCAGCCGATCTAAGTGCTTGCTTGGACCTGGAAACATTATACACTCGCCAAACTTCCGCACCCGTATTTTTTCTGTGCTCCAAGGGCCTTCCTGGGATCGTGGAAATTTTATACGCGCGCAAAACCTTTACGCCCGTATTTTGTGTGCAACAAGAAAACATGTAAAACAAAAATAAATATTTTTTGGTAAATATTGTTTTCTTTCGGAATACATGGTAGACTCACACGCCACTACATGTGTAACACCCACGTATGCTCATGCATCCTAACAATTAGCATCTATGAGTCTGTAATACTCGTGGGCATTGGGATTTTCAACTCCGCACGGTGGATGGAGTCGTGCACCCACGACTCTACTACTGTATCACTCACTACGACAAAACATAATTTTGCATGTGACCAAACGCTTTGCTTGTTATTTAAGGTCCGTGAAAATCGATGATTTTTGTTTGCCGCCACCCTAAGAGCCCCATCAGCGCATAATTAAGTGACTTAAAAACAATTTTTGGCGCAAGAAAACAAAGTCCAGATCCAAATAACGCCCGATTCGCAAAATTCATAATGCAATTTCACCATTTGAAATTCGAAACTGATTTGTCAAATTCACAAAAAAAATTCAGCCGAGGATATCAGCATCGGCATCCCTACGTCGGCATCCTCTCCTCACTAGCACAAAAAAGCTCATACGGATCGGCAATATAGGTGCCGGAACAATTAAAACCGACACCTTTAAGTAACCATAGGTGCCGGTTATTATAGATATCGATTTTTTTAAAAAAAACCAGCACATTTAATATATTATAGGTGTCGTTTTTTTTTTAAAAAGGCACCTATTGAGACTGAGCCGATAGTGTCGGCCTTATCTATAAGCGTTGGCCTCCCTTTATTTATTATCCTTATCGGTTATCTATCCTTTCTCTCGATCTCTCTCACCGTCTCTCTCTCTCTCTCTCGCACGCGCGCGGCGGCAGCTCGGAAGAGGGATCAGCGGCGCAAGAGGGGAGGCGGCGGGTGACGGGCGGCGGCGGCGCACCTCGCCGACGGGTGGCTGCAGCACCCTCCCCTCCGCGGGATCCGGCGGGAGGGGAGGCGGCGCTCTCCCCTCCACCGGATCTGGCGAGAGGGGAGGCGGCGGGCGGCGGCGGCACCCTCCCCTCCGCCGGATCTGGCGGGAGGGGAGGCAACGAGTGGCGACAGAAGAGGGGCTCGCCAGCGACGAAGCGGATGGTGGAGCATGAAGAGGGCTCTCCTCCCTCGTCTCTTGTAGATTTATTTTAGATGTTTTGGTCGATTTGTGGATTAGAGTATGTTCATTCTGTGATGTCAATTGATTTTGGTAGCGATTTGTGGATGATTTGGGGATTTGGGGATTTTAAATTGATTTCGGAGCAACTCGGGCGATGACGCAGTAACAGTGCTCAGTTGAGTTTGGCTCAATTCGAGCTGAGCCGGTCCCTTTTTTTTTTTTGGCTTGAGCAAAGCTAAAGGTGTCGGTTTTATTTTCTTCATAGGTGCCGGTTGCTACTATTGGTGCCGACCAATAGGTGTCGGTTGGGAAACCGGCACCTATAGCCGATTCCCAACCGGCACCTATGGCCCTTTCTGTAGTAGTGCCTGCTTCTTCAGCCAGTCTCTAAGGTAAGAAATCGAAGTAGCGCACCATCATCGATGTCGGTAAGGATGGCGGAGGCCAGCCGCGATGATGTCAACGGCCACGGAATGAGGATGGCCGAGAGCTTTCCACGACGACGAGTGAGAGCTTCTCGAGGCCTTGTGGTGGCGAATCTGCATGCTCGAGGCCCAAAGACGGCAGATCCACCTGCGTCAAGCTCGGCGGCGGTGGATCTAGATTCCCAAGGCCCTATGGTTGCAAACCTGATGCTCCTGAGGCCGGTGACGGCGGATTCAAGCTGTGGAGGTCACATCGCTGTCATCACGATCGTGGTCACAGTCGTCATCACTATTGTCGTTGTGGTGGTGGTCACGGTCATCGTTGCAGGCCCAATTGATGTCCCTTTGACTCCTAAGGCCCACCAACTACGGGCGTGGTCGATGACGGCAGTGGGCAGGAGCGGAGCGTTGGCTGTGATAGGTAGGTACGGAGGAGGAAGGCCAGGAGAGGGAGGACTTGGGGGAGGAGATGGGGATGGGGGAGAGTCTGCTCGCTCGGGTGGGAAGGAGGTGGAGTAGGTGGTGAGAGAGCCAAGGGAGAAGGAGAGATGGAAAACTTTGGCTCTCTATGTGTCAAATTTAATAGTGCCCCCATATTTTGTATGCCGGTCTTTTTAACCCGCCCATAAAAATCGATTTTTAGAGGCGGGGTTAAATCTACGGGCTTCCCGCTATTTATACAAGTGATAACAAGAAGTAATATTTTAAGTCCACCTGAAAAATAAATAAAACGTATGTATCGGCCAAATTGTTTTTTATAGTACTGATACTTCCCCCGATAAATGCCGTTTCGTTTGGGTAAAACATAAAAAAAACATGTGAATTCATGTACCGATTCTGAACTCATTAAAATCATTGCATGAGCTGTAGCAGCAAAACAAGCTATGATGCTGAAACCTGAGAGTATTCACCTATCAAAAAATTACAATGACGAAATAGGATGCAAGTCAGAATAGAACACTTATGTGATAAACTCTAAGCATACCAGCATTACTCGTGCAACAAGCGAATTGATCATAACTCCTACATTTAATTTGTTTGGTGCACCATAACCCCTAGATTTATTTTTTTTTTGGGGGGGTTGGGGGGAGGCAGATGATGAGAAACAGGCAAACAGCCCATGTGATTTCAGCTAGTGAGAATATAAACTTGTGGTTACTAGTTTATTTTTTTAATTCTACTATTATAGTTTTTAAATCAAAATAAAAAGCTAAATTGTTTAATTAGAGGAGCTTTTCATTTTAAGAAAAGCTGAGCGTTCCAAAAGTTCTCCCAACATTACCCTATGTTCTAAACTTAGCATAGGTGCTCGTAGTTATTTCTAATTGTTCTTTTATGATAGCAACTTACTCGTCAAGCAAGAGGTGTTTATAGGTATGTGGTGTGCGATTGTCCCTTGGAAGTGCTCATAGTAATAGGAGTGTGTATGTGTATGTTTATATGGTCATTATCACAAGATTAGCCTAATTATATTCTTCTCAATTAAATGATTATTAGTAAGTGTTAACTACTTCCTCCGTCTCATATTAAGTTTATTTTTAGCTCAGTCCATTTTGTCCCTAAATAAGTTTATTTTTGGAGGAATCATTATATCAGAGTTTATAAAAGTAAAAAATAATTGTATTAGGAGTAGATAAAAAGAGGAATAGTTGCATTGGGATTTGATAGATTAGGAGTATTTCTTTTATTATTATTACTAGAAAAAAAATGCTAGTGTGTTACAACGGGTGAAGTCTATTTTAATCTTATTATTGTTATATGGTTTAGTTAGGATGAAATTCACTGCGGGGAGTTCGCTTGGATATATATATTTTTAGATAATCATGAGCTGCAGTTAGGAGTTCGATCGTCTCAAGTTAGCATGCGAGTTTTTTTAAACAAATTTCTTATATGATTCCACCTGTATTACCAAAAGTGAACGATGTTAAAAACCGACTCAAATACGGATATGTATTTCCAAAAGCAAACGAACCTAAAAACCGACTAATACACGGATGACGTACCAAAATATCGGTAAAAACATCTTCAATTTTTATAATAGTAGAGATCATTATTGGTATGTGTGAGATGGGTAAAATATTAAGTTATTTGGGACGTAGGTTGTAGAACTAGTATATAGATCTACTAATGTATGATTTTACACTAAGATGTACGCTACATTACAAGAAACATAAATCACAAGTAGTACTTATTCTAGCCAGAAGTTATCTTATATTACTGAAAGAAATTTAAACCTAACAATTCACGGTCATACGAATATACGAGCATTTCAATGTACTATAAAAAAACGCCCACGTCCTAAATATCATGATTCTTAAACAAGCACAGCAAAGTGTGACTATCCGTAGCTAGAGTTCTATATGAAATCAAAATATACAACATACTCCTATATTCCCAGGAGATCCAGATGAAGTGCAAATTTATTACATTGGTAGTTCGGCCGAAATTGAATACTTACATCTAAAACAAAATAAACACTCTGAACAAAAGCAACTATATAAACTAATCAAGTAGCCTTAACAACGGCGACATGACCTAATTCAACTGAACCCAGGTAAAGCTTGCCGCCGCTTCTCTCAATCACCTCCGTTGGCCTGACGTTCTTCGGCCCCCTCAACTCCTGCAAGATCTTCCCCTTGCGACCGATCCTTACGGCGAGGAGGTGGGTGTCCGAGCCATACGGCGTCTCGGTCTTCTCGCGGTGCAGCGCCACCCAGTAGCCTCCCTTCCCATCGGGCCTCACGTTGTCCGGGTAGCCCGGCAGCTCGGCGAACGGCTCCGACGTACCGGCCTTGGGGCCCTCGATCCAGTGCCTCACCAGCTTGCATGGCCCCGTCAGCGCCACCACGAGGTGACTCCGATCGGCGCTGAGCGCGAGACCGTTGGGGTACGTCATTCCGGACTGGAGCACGTCGAGGTAGCCCGTCGTCGGATCGTACTTCATCAGGCGGCCCGTGGAGTCGCCGGTGGCAGTGACCCTCTCGTGCTGGGATCGCTGGAAGCGCGTGCTGCTGTCGGTGAAGTAGACCTCGCCGGTGACCTGGTTGACGTCGACACCGTTGGTGAACTTGAACGGCACGCCGTCGGCCTCCGTGGCGAGCACCGTTGCCTCCCCGCCGCGCGGGCCGACACGCATGAGGCCCCTGTACGCGTCGGCGATGTAGAAGTTACCGGAGGTGTTGTGGAACCGGAGGCCGAGCGGCCGGCCGCACTTGCTCTCGGTGAGCTCCGCGGGATGGAGCTTGGGAGCCATGCACTTGGCGACGTTGTACCCCGGGGCGTGGGAGTACACTACACTGGTCAAGGTCACCTGTGACGGGCCCAAACCCTCACCTTTGACGGTTTTGGGCTTGGTCAGTGATCAGTGGTCACTGGTAAGTCCAGTCACCTTTGACGGGTGGCCGGCCGTCAGTGGTGACATCCACCTCTGACGGGCAAGTTAATAGAAGGCCGTCAGAGGTGTTGGTCTAAGCTAGACTAGGGCTTGTTAGGACCCGTCACAGGTGTCTCATCTCTGACGAGCCCCTAAATAAAGGCCCGTCAGAGGTGATGATCCCCGGTATATAGTAGCCGTCACAGGGTGACCCACCTGTGACGGGCCCGAAAGTAAAAGCCCGTCACAGGTGGGTCACCTGTGACGGTCCGACGTTTGCGAGTCCGTCACAGGTGAAGTTACCTGTGACGGATGTTTCTTCCGAACCGTCACTGATGAGTTAATTCCAGAAAAAAAATAAATGCTAAATATTGGCTAGCCTCAGGAATTGCTAGCCATGCCCTCTGAAACACAGAAACATCACAGGTGCCAGTCACCCCCCCTCCATATCACATATTCCCCAACTGCCCAACATCACAGATGCATCACATATCACAGATCCATCACAAAGCAACAATTTACAACATCACATATGCAACAATTTAATTTATTATAGCACACAATTCATACCCCATGAAAGTCCTCAAATGATTACCAAAATTTCTTGTATTCTGTTCGTTGTGAACCTCCACAACCTGTCAATAAGGGAAAAAAAAAGGAGAAAACAGATGAATAGTACAACATAAATCGTAGTTGATCAAATGTGATGACAATTTAGTAAAGTACCATAAATATTGCACATATGAAAGTAAATTACATTGCACTCTATAAAAACATAATTTTTTACATCGCCAGAAATTATAAAAACATCTTTTTTACATCACAATAAATTATCTAGCCAAGTTCATGAGTCTATTTGGCATGAAAACGTCCTTTCTTGTTCATTATTTCTGCAAGAATAAAGGCGCGCAATTCGCCTCTGATAGCGGGGGGGTTGATGGGTGAGATCTTGAAGCCAGCTCTACCTTTCTGTTTAATAAATAAGAGGTTAATTAGCACGTTTTGAATAGCAATGTAGATATTGAAATGAGCTTATTCGCCATTAGCAACAACCTCAGGGTCGAAATCTTTCACCTCTCTTAGAAGTGTTGACATGTTGTGGCACACGTGGAAACCACATTGGTCTCCGATCTGTTGTGCGCATGCAAACTTGGTGTCATGATAAAGTTCATTCTTGCCCTCCTTGTGCCTACCACCCTTTTCCACATATGGACCCCAAGCCATATTTAAGGCCTTGGTGATTTCACTGAAATCATAATCTTTGGACTTATTGGAGTTAAGGTAGGTAACCCTACTCCACTTAGGTACGATGACTAGGAGAATCCAATGTCGCCTGCGCAGTGGTTATGTAGCGTTAGTACTAAGAACCTTAACTTCAAAAACAATATACACGAAGGGTATTGTCCTCTTACTCTTGGTTGTGTGCGCACATGATGTACTCCTTGTCTTGATGGGCCCATAAACACCGGTTGACATAGTCAACCACCTCAGTGGAGCTCTGTTGTAAATTAACCTCATTCACCATGGATGGATCAAGGAACCCAACCTGATTACCATGGCGACGACTCTCGATCCAACACAACCTTAAAATATTTACGTATTAGAACTAATTTAATTAGGAGATATAGTCCAGTCATATCACAAGTATAGAAGGTATGCACTTACAAGGAGTAGCATTTTAGAAGACCAGTGTCCAACTTCCGGATCCTGAAAAGGTCGAAGAGGTCATCAAAGCCTATAGTTATATAGGCAGGCGACGATAGGAACGGCTGGTGGTCGTGATGTCCAACTATGGATGACTCCCTCATTTTCCGCTTGGCATTGCTTAGCTCCATGTATTGCTTATGTAGCTCTCGGCAAGCAATACCCATCACAGCTAACACATTGTCCTCCACCAATGGCATGCCTAGCTCAAATTGGGCTGGCGCCCTCACGACCTTCCCCGATTTGCTTACCGGCATCGACGTCGCAGCCTTGCCCCTTTTTGGCTCCGGCGCCAACTCCCCGACCTTCCCCTTGCCTCGTTCACGCTTCTGGCCCTTGACAAGTGGTGGGGAGCTATCGGCCTTTCTTGTGGTCTTTATTGGAGCCAAGCTTTGAGCTATATCTGCCAAGTCCATATCAGCTCCACCGGGAGAATGAGGTACTGACAATGCCAGTCCACGGGGAGCCTCAATTGATAGCTTAGACTTGGGAGGTGTAAGCTCCGTCGGTCGACTTGGACGAGGAGTCATCTTCACAACTATGTATTCTTTGGGCCATTGTATGAATGTCTTGCGCGCATCGCCCAAAGTCATGATTTCATCATTTGGGGGCACGGGCAGCGGATAGCCTGACCAGGTGTCCTTTACTGTATCGATGGACACCTTGGCATACCCAGCTAGCAGGTCTGCGCCGTGGACCTTGTCTGTAACCGAGGGCTTGAAAGCCATGCCCTCAGCGACTTCAGGAGCGAAAGTTGGGTGGACTCTCGCTAGTAGGACACACTGTGCTGCGCCCTGCATAAGGTGAAAGTTTGAATTTAATATTGGAATGTGTAAATGTCTTTTATTAGATATGGATCGGATAACAATAATTACCTCGATGTGGTCCACTGCAGCTAGTGGTGCGATCGGGAGACCAGGGGCCGGCACCTCTGTGGATGCACAACTACTCCTATGCTGTGACGGACTCGCGTCGTGTTGTATACGAGGAGTTGGTTGCACAGCAGGTGTTGTGACTCGGGGTATATTCATGTCGGCGAGCACCTTGTTAACCCTTTCTTCCACCCTTGCATTCATGCTAGCTTCTAGTTCTTGAATGACCTCAACCTTAAGTTCGGCCTTCAAACGAGCGTCCCTCTCTTCCTTGGAGACTTTCCGTTTCCTGTATTGGGAGCTGTACTGAGGGAGTCCATGCTTCCAGGGCACATCGCTACCAATTCCCCGAGTTCGGCCAGGATGTTCTTTGGTTCCGAGCGCCTTTGTGAGGATGTCATCTTCGCGCCTCTTCGGCGCGGACTCAACCTCGCTTTGTGAAGCTTGTTCAGCAACCAAGCCTAACTAGAAAAGAAGATAGTCGTTTATACGAACTTGTACTTTATACGAACGGAAATTAGTTAGGTTAAGTAGTGAACTCACCAGTTCCTGATAGACGACGGCATCACTTTTGTTCTCAAATGTGACAGAGCCGTCCGGGTTGACCTTACCCCTTGCCCGCGCCCAGTTGCGAGCTCTTTGTTCAGGGATGTCTGAAAACGGGGCAGGTACATTCGCTGCTGCAGCGGCTGCATCTTCTTGGGCCCATATTGCCTCCTTGCCGATGTACCCTGCGGTGCCCAGCCGATGCGGGTGCTCATTCCGCTGTTGCAGTACGCGATGTGCCTCGCTGGATTCCCTAAACTCTTGGGTGGTCTTGAGAGAGCAGAATTCCTCCCACACCGCTTCGGTTATTTGAGGGTATTCATCGAACGGCGTATGATTGCCGGGCGGGTTGACATACTCGGTGAAGAGCTTCGACTTCCAATTCTTCCAAGCTTTGCCCATCTTTTGTAATGCCTTCCGCTTGAGCCTATCCTTTGCTTCGGCTGGAAATGTGAACCATTTCTCCATTGCCGTCCAAGCTCGCTCTTTCTCGGCTTCTGTGACCTTCCCGATATCTTTATGGAGGATCCCGAAGTTCTCACGTGCCGCTATCCCGCAGCAGTTAGACCATCTTCCAATGACAGTCCTGGGCGCCGTGGGCCTACCACTAGCGTCAACCTCTCTTATAACTTGCACTGTGGTCGGCCATATATTTTGTGACCGCGGATTTCTACTAGACCTACTTGCACTTGTCTCGCCCGACATCGACGTATGTTGTTCCTGCGGCAATTCTGCAGCACAAACAGAAGGCAATATTTGCTAAGGGGTGCTAGCTAAAATTTATGTGGTCATGTGGTGAAAATTTATCCTATAAATTACCATGAATTTCGGGTTGTTGGACCGCCGTTGTCGCGGGATGACCTTCGGCAACTGCCTCTGTGGCTGGGTTTGCTTCTTCCTGGATCCTCGCAGGTGTTGGGGAGGGCGGGTTTGCGCCGGGCGTTGACATGGTTTAACTTTCGCGAAAAAGATTATAAATTTCCTACCATTAGACTAAATAGCATTAGATCCAATGTAATACGGGGTATACTATGAAAGATATGGCCTCAGTTTTGCTGAGAAATATGCATCAATTACAATCATTTGCATGAAGGGATAAAAAGAGAAAATCATAAGGAAAAGAGCAAGTGCAGGAAATCTGTTCTTATGCATAAAAAAAGAACAAGTGTAGAGGTATATAACCACTGAATCAATCATGCAAATTTAAAAAACAGCAGCAGCAAGGGTACATAATTTGCATGATTGACATAAAACAGCAGCAGGAGGAGTATATATGCCACAGGGGTAGCAACAGCAGGGGCAAATTAACTAAAACAACATGTCTAGATATACTCCTCTTATCAATCCAGAAGAAAAGAGCAAGTGCAGAAAAAAGAGGAAATAGAAAATAAAATAGAACAAGTGTAGTTCATCTGTTCTTATCAATAAAATAGAACAAGTGTAGTTCATCTTTTCTTATCCATAAGGAAAAGAGCAAGTGCAGGAAATTAGAGTAGGAAACAGCAACAGCAGGGTGGAAATTCACATAAACAGCAACAGCAGGGTGGAAATTCACATAAACAGCAACAGCAGAGGGAAATTCACATAGACAGCAAGGGTATATAAATCAACAAGTGTAGATAATCTGTTCTTATCCATAAAGAAAAGAACAGGTATAGATAGAATGTTATTAAGCAATTCATCCTTGGCCATTTAACAAGAAGTACAGGGGCAACAACAGCAGTGGTATATAAATCATGCATATATTATTGTAGATAAAAAAATGAACAAGTGCAGAAAATCTGTTCTTATGCATAAAAAAAGAGAGAGTGCACAAAATCTGTTCTTATGCATAAAAAAAGAACAAGTGTAGAGGTATATAACCACTAAATCAATCATGAAAATTTAAAAAACAGCAGCAGCAAGGGTACAGAATTTGCATGATTGACATAAAACAGCAGCAGGAGGAGTATAAATGCAAGTCCACAAAATTCAATAGGTCTAGCAACATATATAGCAGTACACACTCCATGAATGGTTATATGTCCAAATGGCACTTAAAACCACATTCAAGTTGCACTTAACTAACAGTTGCAACCATAGGCAGCAGCATGGGCAAACATAGACAGCAAGGGCAAACATAGACAGCAGCAGTTGCACTTAAATCCACATTCAAGATT